TTTCAACTTTCAAGTATGATTTATGAATTGTAATTGGGGAAATTGGATTTGGAATTGGGGGAAATTAAAATTGGATTTAGATTTGGAATTGGAATTGGTAATTAAGTTTTTTCTTTATGTTAGCAAGTAATTAATCATTATTTATATGAGCACCATAGGTCTACAACACAGAGAAAAATTGAAGTGGAAAGTTGAGAATTTATGTATTATTCATGTCAAGAGCCAAGAAAAGGCTCTATGGAATCCATATTATCCATATCAAAGCACATTTCATAACTGGTTTGTTCCTTTTTACTTTTAGTTTCTGTATCCCAATATTGAACTCATTATTTCATCTTATTATTTTCAAGTAGTTCTCCAGTTAAAATGATTAATGATTATCATATGGAATGTATGCATAAATATGGAATTTTGCATTGAAATATTTGGGCTGTTCGGAGCAAGATGAGTGTGAAATTAAGAAATTGAACAGCCTCTGCTGAGTCCGCCACTGTGCATGTATATATAAATCAATGTTCAACAGCCCATGTTTTCTCCTTCAAGAAGTTGCTGCCTGAGTGCTTTGAGTGAATATATAATTGAATTCACAGCCCTTGTTTTTGTCCTACTTAGCCGTAAAGGCTGACCGCTTCTTCTCCTCTTTCTTTTCTTTTTCTTTGCTCTCCATTTCTTCCCAAGAAGCCGCCTCCTTTGTTCTCTTTTTCTTTACCCTCAAAACTGCCAGCTTCTCCAATCTTCTGGGTATATATATAATATAATAAGGCAAAAATGTCTCTTTTCTAAATTTCTGTCCAATGTTCTTTGTCTTTATTTTTAATTTTAAGTCGCCAAATTTTGTATCTAATTAAAGTCCAAATTGAGTCCAATTAATTTAATGCTTGCTTCCAAGTCCTTGTTCTATGATTTTTTTTTCATTTTTCCGTTATTTTACATTCTTTTATTCAAATCTTTATTAAACATAAAATTTTACATACAAAATACAATTTAACATAAATTAGGTAGAATTTAATTCAAAAGATAATAAAATATCATGATTTAACACTATTAATAAGTATAAAAACTACACTTATCAACTACAGAATTACATCGAGTGATAAGAGAGAACAAAAGAAAGGTAAATATGCAAACAATAAACTTTTTTATTGTGAGAAGCTTAGAGTGAGAGTGATAATGCTTGTTGGTGACAACAAATGAGCTATAATGGAATTGAGTCCTTCTCCAAAAAAATATTACTCTGTAGGCGAAACTCACAATCTCCGCAGGAACATAAGTATGAAAGGTGAGAATGATGGTGAGCAGTCGAACATTGATAGAAATGAACTAGGATGATACAAGGACAAACTCATTAAAGAAAACGCAATCCAATCAACATCAGTGAACTTACTGCTTTGCATCAATGTAATCGGTCACTTTGCATTAAAACTAACACATCTCAATGATCTCATATAACTACTACCTTTCAAGATAAACATGCATAAATATGAAAGAATGAAGGGCATATGCCAATTGTTTCCTTCCATTCAAATGGTTTACAAATCACCAATTTCTCTACAGTTTGTGACAATTCTGAATTTTCAATCTCCATCTAGGTGGCCTCGTCTTCGAGTAATGCTACGTAGCACTACTGGATTAGACAATGAGTTGGTAGACCCTACTTTCACTTAAACTGATGTTACATATCGTTATTTTCTTCAAAACTGTATTGATGTTGATCAAGAAAAATAGTTCATAAATCCAAAACACCAAAGCATTCAAATCTTTATAGTGAGTTGCTTAAAAAACACATCCCAGTAACCAATGAAAGATCAGAATTTGATGTGCCAAACATTCATGCTCAAAAGATTTGAAAACAAAAAAGATAAAAAGAATGTCTTCTATAGTTGAAGCTTTTACTCAAATATGTTGTTTGCAATGGAATGGAGTGTTCGAAGGGGTTGTTTGACGAATTTTTTTATAAAAAGATTAGCAGATTTTGATAAAAATTGATAAGTTGTGAATATCATTAAATATGTGATTAGAATTAAATTTTGACTATGAGCTCAACTTTTTAGCAATTTTTAAGCTTCCCCAAACAAACAGAAAATAGAAAATGTATTTTCATTCTCTTTCTTTATTTTTAATATTAGTACAAATTTTGACTTTGAAACGTACTACTCACGATTTTTGTAGAACAAAGCCTCCGTCACCGTCTATCAAATTTATAAATGGTTTAGAAATAAAAATAATAGTTGTTCTCACGAAATATACTTATAATAATGAGCAATAATTACGAATGTGTGATTTGTTGAAACCAATATTTGACTTTTATTAAATTCGTATCCAAGTGAAAAAGTTGAGGACCACAAGTATAATTTCTTTAATGCCTCGTGATGCATATAGCTATATAATATTCCCACCTTTCAATTTCATCATGAATCCAGTTTACCTTTGAGCATGAGCTAAAACTTAGTTTAATTATAATTAATGGCAGGTGAGGAGCCGTGCACCTGCACAAAGGACATTAAATTTGACAATTTAAAAGTTTTTAAATCCCCGAATTAGTAATGCAACTGGTGGGTAATGGTAGGTCGATGTTTCGATGATAACTATTTCTTTGAAAACTTGTTTAGGGATTGTTTGGAAAATCTTTTCATAAATCTATCAAAATATACAATCTATCATAAATTGTTTGGAAGACAGGATTTATCCTGGAAGGCAGATATTCTCCTGAAAGGTAAGGTGCAACATGTGTTGACTCGCTTTGTACTTTGACGGATTAGTGGAGGGGGCTCTTGGATCCTGACCAGTTTGGGGCACATTCCGCGATTTATCTAGTTTGCGTCTTGAGGGGCCAAGGCGTAGATTTCAGGATTAATTGTCGAAAGTGGACACCTGTGTATCAAAAAATTGTTTATGAATTGTTTGGAAAATCTTTTCATAAAAAAATTAGCAGATTTTGCCGAAAATTAATTTAACATATAGAAAAAAAAGTAGAAAATCTTATAAAATATAAATTAATTATTAACTTTGAACTCTACTTTTCAACAAAATTTTGAGCTTTTTAAAATAAGCACTTGAAAACAAGAATTTTTTTTTTTTTTTTTGCTTAAAAGCAATAACTCTCTCTCACACGATGTAACGTCAACTGTGTGTGAGATAAGCCATGTAATACGAACCCCACAAGTCTGTCCATTTCTCACTGACCTGTCTCCTAAAAATTGGAGTTTTGCCATAATTTATTCTCGATTTCGATACAATTTATTAAGCCCTGTTTGACGTACATTATTTTTTTCATTTTCATTCTTCTAATCATTTTTAATCACATATTTTTCAATAAAATAATATTTTACATTACATCAATAACTTTTCCTTCATTTTCAACCACATATTTTCATCACATTACTTCAAAAAAATGCATTATCTCATTTTAATGTGCACCAAACAAGCTCTAAACCTACCATGAAAAAAATTGATTAAAATCTAATGTAACAATTAATTTTAATCATAAATCATAGGATTCACAATTTTTTAATCATATATTTCATCAATTTTTATCAAAATTTACTAAAAATGAATTTCTTAATAGCAAATTATGGAATATAATTTTAAAAGTAAGAAAAAAGCCTAAAATTGACAATTCAAACACGTAAATACGGCTCATTAATTCCAGACACCAACATTTACTTATTTTTGGGAGGAGAAAACGCTTTTGCTTCCTCATTTGGGGTCATTGAACTCTTGAGTCAGTACTCAGCAGCGAAGAAATGGCACCCAAAATTCATACCTTTGAGGAGGTAGCAAGTCACAACAAGAAAGATGATTGCTGGCTTATCATCTCTGGCAAGGTCAACTTGTTCTCATTGCGTATTCACTTATTTTTGTGGATTATATGAAAATTGCTTATTTTTATCTTTTCGAAGAATCTTGATATATGTTTTTTCGTTGGATATAAAAGACTGTGATTTAAAATGTGAATCTAAGTTGGATTGATAGTCTGATTCGGAATAAACAATGAATTGAAGAGAATATTTGAACTAGGATTTTAATTTTTTTTTTCAAGGGATTTAGGAAAGAAAACTTTATAGCCATGTGATAGTATCATTTCAGAGCATGAATCCCTTTTGATGTATATATATTTTTTGTTTGATTAAATCCTTCTATATGATTGTACGACAGGATTAGATTCGGTAAAGGAGGAATAGATAATCGAAAATTGATTGTTTACTATGCATCTTCAAACATTCTTTTTGCAGGAAAAGTCACTTTTAAGGAATTTTTCCTGCAAAAAAGCTGTTTGAAGAATTCTGAAAGTGACTTTTCCTTTTATGTTTAAACTTTATCTAAGCTTATTTCTTCCAGTATACAAGTCGATCCATGGATTGTTTCCTTCTCTACCTAGTAACTAATGAGTGAAGCATGTAGGTAAAAAGTTGTGAATCTTCCCTATGTGGGTGAAGATCAAAGCAATAAATGAAAATGCTGCAAATCTTTGGCAAAAGCAAATCAGTAAAATTTTTTGAAAATGGAAAGATACAATACCTTCCTCTCTATCAATTCGGCTGATTCGACAAGTTGCTACTTTTGTCAAAGATTTACAATGATTTCATTTATTCATGTAGCTCATACCCACATGGGCTGGATCCACAACAATAGTAGCGTGTTGACGCTTATGAGAATTTATTCGAAGAGCGATGATAGTTTTGTTTCTTTTAATACTAGTAACGAACCAGTGAAGCTTGTATTAAAGAGAGAACCATGAAATTCAAGCTCAATTATGATTTATAAAATTGTAGCCACTGGATAGACTAAAGCAAAAACATCTCTTAGCCCCTGTTTGGTAGAGATTTTTTTAGAATAGATTTTGTGAGAAGTGATTTATTTGGAGAATGTGTAATTAAGAAGTAGGGAAAAGATGAGTCCACGTGCAAAATTATTTTATTGGAAAAATGTGTGGTTGAAATGAGTTTGGGAAAAAAATGAGTTTTATAAAATGAGGGCCAAACAAAGGCTTAATCTTAGGAATATATTGGAGAGACTCAAGGCCTTTATAGTGAGACTTGAGGTTTATGTTGCTCTAAATTGTCAAAAAGACTACACTACTCTTAATGAATAATATAAGTTATAACCAGCACATTCTTTCGGAGCCTAAATTTTAATCGTAGTAGTGCAAGGTTTTGTTTCATTAAATAACCCCATAAGATTAAAGCAAAATTCTGTAGGACTTACTGGCCAAGCGTCTTAGTTAGCACTCATTGAAGACAAATACGAGTAGTAGTTAACAGGCTTTTAACACATTGAAATCAGACTATTAGAGTGGTATAATCAAATCTAGACAAAGGGGAGTAAAAATCACATGAAATTTGTTCATTAAAAATTAGTTGGTCAACCAATGATTAATACAAATATGGTTCTTGAGGATCCATATGACCCAAATAAGAATTAGGCAACGTTTAGTTGAGTTGCTTTGAGGATTATTTTATTCTTCTCTTCAATATATGTGTGGGGTCGGTCCAAAAACAGATAGACATTATATTTAAAACATTGTCTAGAATTCTATATGCACAGAAATTTATACGTTCCTTCTTTCATTTTTGCTTGTAGACACAAGGCATCAAGTAGAAATAATGTGAAGTCTAATGGTATATATGTGACTGTGTGGTGCCTAATAACGAAATTTTTATTTGGGGGTATATTGGATAGTTTACACATGTTAATGCTCACCTAAGTATTCCTAGTATAGGATTTTAAGAAGAGGGGAGAGGTAACAAGATAAAGTTTAGTGAAAAAATTTGTAATCTCCTCCATTGTGGTGAAAAATCTGCACACATAAGTTGACGTAACTCTCACATTGGCACGAACAATTATAAATCCGTGTGTTTATGATTTTGCTTTGTCTATTACTGCAAACGAAGTTAGGGATTAATGTTTAATCTATATGAGTACAAGTTCTTAGACGTTCTATTAATCTCACGTTAAGAGTAAAATGCCGCCTCCATGCAATGCTTTTTATAGTGTCATTTGACAGTTACCTACTTCAAATATCATTTTTTCCCCCTGGCAAATACTTAAAGTTGTCGGAGGTTTGATCTTGAAAAGATGCATAGGGCATCTAAAACCCATCTCAAACTCGAGCTTTTGCGCACAGAGGAAGGTTCTGACCGGTCCTGTCTCGACTGAATCTGTTTGTAGGAGGACAAAAGAGAAAAAAAGGAACCTTCCTCTCTCCAGCCATTTCATTTCAGGTTGACAAGTTGTGAAGTGTGTTTATCTCTATAAGAACGGAAATGGGAGAGAAGGATGTTGTAATGGGCTTTATGCATATAGTTTAACTAAATCGAAACATAGTAATTGGGTATGCATTTGTTTGGTAGATTCCAATCATGCTATTATTATTATTATTATTATTATTATTATTATTATTATTATTATTTGCATTCGAATTTCATGCCTCCTTTTGTTAACATTGCATTAGGTCTATGATGTGACGCCATTTCTCGAAGAACATCCTGGGGGTGATGAAGTGCTGCTAACATCAACTGGTAAGAGCTGATTCTATTTTACGATTCTCAACATTCCCTCTAACACGAACTCACTTTCTTAGTGCATCGACATTACCATTTGTCCCATAAAATGTGGGAGTTCATTTAGCATTTGGATATTTCTCAAGATCTAAGAGCCATTCACTATGAACAAGAAAGTTGATACCAGTATCTTTGGTTCCCTGTTTAGGATTATAATAAGTGTTTTTCACGAATTTCGTAGAGAAAGATGCTACAAATGATTTTGAAGATGTTGGCCACAGCGATGACGCAAAAGTGACAATGCAGAAATTCTACATTGGCGAGATTGATGAATCAACTCTTCCATCAAAGCAGAAATACACTCCTCCAAGTGCAACTTCAACTGCAACTGCAAACCAGGACTCGGGGAGTTCATCGAAGATACTGCTATTTGTCCTGCCCTTATTGATATTGGGATTAGCATTTGTTCTTCGTCTCTATTCGAAAAAGGAATAGGTTTAGCCAATCATATCTAGGAATAAAATAAATGATTGGTACCGTTTATGACTGTCTAGCCTATTTCTTGCTATACCAGATTGGTTGTTTGTCATGTACCTATCTGAAGTTTATGAATTAATGCAGTCCTATACTTTATGCTGTGATTTATTGCTGCTGTTGTTTATTTTTCATTTCAGTAGTTCAGTGGTGAAGATAAATATTTGGACTATTACTGCATTCACTTTCTACAACTAGTTTCTTGCTAACTTTGCATGTGGCCCCAGCCATATTTGGTACGTTATACTGGACATTGCACAATAAGGAAGAAAGAGTTTTTAACTTATTTTCGTTTGTAATTTTGCTTTCCATTACTAGCTGTGATCAATGATCACGATGGTCAAGATTTTGCTTTTGATTAGTGTCAAATCACTCGACTTCCTGGAGGGATATATTAGGTGCGTATGACGGATAGGATGATAGAAGATTACTCGCATGTCTCTTTGCCTTGATTATACTTGATTTTGATATCTTCATTGTTTGATAAAATCAATATTAACTGAACGTAATTGTTAATGTTTAAGTTGCCAAATACAATCTTTTGAGAGTAATAAAATGTATTCCATGAAAAACTGCCTCCGAAAACGTGCAAAAATAAAGGGGTGTTGGAAATGGATTTGATTTGAATTGATTACCGTATATCATCTTTCACAAGTTATCAAAATCAAACAGAGCGATTTGTTTGAAATAAAAGTAGAAAATGATGCTCAACGAATAATGGCGCTGAACGACACAGCAGCAGCTGTAATTTCCAGGTTGAAGTATACGCAGAAAATTCTCAGCCAGAATATGGCCAGCGGTTCCTATCCACGCCCTACATTATCAACAAAATCAAAACGCACAAAATCGCACGCCACACACTCTCCTACGAAATTCTCCACACACACACAAAAAATAAAATCTGTAGGTATAAAAAAAATTCCGGCACTGACTGTGAAGATTTGAGAACCAGAGATGGGGCAGAAAGAAGAGAGGAAAGACGGCGGCGTTGTGGTGGTGAAACCGAAGCCAAGTAAAGGCATTGCTTCCAAGGCCGTGGACTGGTTGGAATGGGTTTTTGTGAAGCTAATGCATGATTCCAAAAAGCCCCTTCATTATCTTTCTGGTAATTTTGCTCCAGTTGATGAAACTCCTCCTCTTCAGGACCTTCCTGTTAAAGGGCACCTCCCTGTAAGTCTAAATTGCGATTTCAATGTATTTGTGCTAATGACTTATTAATAGACACACATTATAGTTTAGTAAAATCTAAGAATTTGTAAGCCTAATATTTGATATGCATAAGCAACAGATTAGGGAATAGGAGTGTGGATAGTTGTAGTAAAATTATAAGAAAATAGCTGTGGCTGTGGGACAATTAGACGGTAAATTGACAACGAATGGTAGGTGTAGACTAAGTAAAGAAAATTATAAGATGTGTTGATTCGTATACCTAACCAGGCCTACTGAAAATATCCAATTTCCTTAATTATAGTGAAAAATGATTCATTTAGTCAATTCCAAGTTTACAGGGAATAGCTTGTCGTTGTTATAAGTGTAACATCTGTGAGCAAGTGTTCATGAGTGTGTTTTGTGTTTGTAGCGGAAGAAGATCTACTTTAATTTGCTTTCAATTGATTATGTTATCATCCAATTTCCGGTGCCTTAGCTAGACTGCTTTGTCTGCACACTGATTTTGTGAAAATTTTACCCACCGCAGGAGTGTTTGAATGGTGAGTTTGCGAGGGTTGGTCCCAACTCAAAATTTTCTCCAGTTGCTGGATATCATTGGTTAGTCCTTTTTCTTTCTCAAATTAATTTCTGTAGAGCATTACATGGTATTTTCTTGTTCCTTCATTTTGAGAAGTTGAAGACATTATCATGCCTAAAACATATTACACATCTCAAACTTTCTTCTCATTCTTTTTTTTTTCTTTTTTTAAACTTTTACCCTATAGCTTATCTGATTCCTATTTCTTATTTTGTGGTGGGATTTATTAGTTCTTGTCATTTGGCAGCAACTTTGTCTAACCTCGTATTTGTTTGTTCTCGCAGGTTTGATGGAGATGGGTGCGTATTTTTTGTTCCTCATTCATTTCTTTGGATGCATAATTTTTCATTTTACCCTTCACGGGGCAACGTATACAACTCCTCCAACCATCAAGCTTGTTGAAACTTTCACATGATCTATTGTTGTTTAGGCATTACTGATTGTACTTGAGAGACATATCTCTTCTTGGCAGGAATAATAATTCTACTACAAAAATCACTCCATTTTAGTGATGGCAGATTGTTTTCCTAACATATCTGATTTCTTTTCTACGACTCTGCAATAGGGTAGCCTTGTCCGTGATATCATTGGATCTAGTACAGTTACATGTTAATTTTTAGGCCATTAACAAATGATGGCTTTGTCTTGTGATGAGGACCGATGAAGGCCTTGATTCAGTGATAATAACTTTTTACTCTGGATCCAAACTGTGTTCTTCTAGAGATTAGAATCAATAATGTCATCTTTTCAGTCCAGCATTAATATGAACCTGTTTCTGATTTGGAATATCGAAAACACTGAAACCTTTGGGCTTAGGTCTTCTGGTTTCCTTAGTATTCTTAATATTAGGAATTATATCTTATGGTTAAGTATTTATAATTATATCCTCCAAATTCACAAATTTTTCAAGCCCAATATCAGGTTGGATGAAAATGAACTTCAAATCTTTCTTAAATATTCATTTTGTCTATCAGTGACATGCCTGTTAAAGATATGTTCTTGAACATTTGTCATCTGTTAGATGAAGTTATACTTTACCCCCTTTTTTCTTCTTGTCTTAAATATGAGATATTCCATATCTTTTATCTGCTTTTGGAATTGGTTTTGTTGAATCAGCATCTTATTCTGTGACAAGTTGACAGTCTGTTTTTAAGTCTAATTCTGCTTATTTTATTTCTCTCAGTAAAGTATTTATATGCGTATATTTTCTGTTATGCCTTTTTGGTATTTTGATTTATTTCCAATTTGCAAGAGTTTGAACTATTCCATCATGGTGATATATAATGGATTTAAGAAACCGTGGTTTTGCTTACTTGACAGAATGATTCATGGTATTCGCATAAAAGATGGAAAAGCAACATATGTTTCTCGCTATGTGAGGACATCACGCATTAAACAAGAAGAGTATTATGATGGGGCTAAGTTTATGAAGGTATGGATTGGAAATAGCGTATCATCATAGATTTTGTTTTTTCCATGCTCTCTCCCTCCAGCAACATTTTCCAAATGGTGATTATAAAAGTTTCTTAAGTTGAATGTCAACACTTTTCTGCTTTTGTGGAGTTTAACCTTTTTAATGGAATTTTATGGTTGACATATATAATCAGTGAAGCTCCTTTGATTGGAACAACCCTATTTACCTCTATCAAGCATGTCAGAACTGTAGTATCATGTTTGACTCGAGGTCCTTTTTTTCTAATGCTTGTGGATATCTTAAATGAGACTATAAAATAAACTAATGAAATGTATAGGGCTTCTGTGTGTAGAAGTATCTCAATGTTACATTATTCATTACAGGTTCACGAGTTTAAAGATTTGATTTCATGGACGGAACAAAAAATATTAAGTGCTTGTTTGGGCCGGATTAAATCTAAATCAAAGTCAAACAATCAATATTAACCACATCTTTCATGGGTTCCACATCTTTTCAACCACACATTTCAAAAACTTCTATCACAATCCACTAAAAATCTAATTTTAATCCCCACCAAACACCCTCTAAATGTGACTATACCTTATAAATTCAATCACGCATCAGTTTTACATCATAAATACAATGATTTGCAGATTGGAGATCTGAGAGGGATGTTCGGATTAGTCATGGTAAACATGCAAATGCTTAGAGAAAAACTCAAAGTATTGGATATGTCTTATGGACATGGTACAGGTGGGTCAGTTACGTATGCTTTCCCACCATAAAGCTAACTGTGCATCTCTGAACCTGCCTTCACCCACTCTCCTCCCCAATCCCCCTCCCCTTGCTGGGGCTCTTTGACTTACAGTCATCGGAAAAGGTTCAGAAAAATCATCTAGAGTTTTGTAGATAGTACCTCCTTAGCTAGCACCATATCTGCGAATGTATCTAGTATATCACCATGGCAATACCTTTTAGGTTTCTACATATTTGTTTATCAACTGCTGATGTGAAGATTGTTGCAATTTTTTTTCAAGCTAATACTGCTCTAGTATATCACCATGGAAAGCTTTTGGCACTCCACGAGGGAGATAAACCATGTAAGCTATCTTTCTTAGTTGATCTTTATATTAAAAACTGCATGCTTTCTATAAATTAAAACTTCATTTTGATCCAATCCCTTTCAGCGTGTTTGGCTTAGTAACTCAAACTTACAAGCTAAACATGTGGATAACATAAAATATACCATTTTCCCCCTTATTTTAGTGCATAAAAGTGTCATTTTTTGACTGTAAGGTCCAATAAGATACAGACTTATCACAATACTAGTCTTGCACGAGCTGAATTTTCTTTAAGGTAATGTTAGTGTATTAGATGTGTTGGATTCTCGTGTAACTAATGTATGCTTTAATCTAGTAGAATTATCGTATTTAGAATTTGTGGTTACCGTAATAGCGTCGAGTGATATGATATGAGAGCTAATGAAAATCAGGTTATGGGAAAACAATAAAAGCATGGTTCTATTAGGCAAAACAGGGCTGCCGCTACAAAAGAATTTGTATTTTGAAGATAGAAATGATTTTGTTTCGCCATGGGTTTATTGTTAGCACTGTATATAAAATAAAAATAAAAAATGTCAGCGTTGCGCAGACACGGTATGTCGGTATCTGCATAGCGCTGACACTGGTGTGCACGCTGTCCGGACACAGACATTAAAAAAAAAGGTCCGCGCTACCCCCAAAAGGTGGGGATCGACCTGCCCGGTCAGGTGCGGGAGTCGAGGAGGCAACGCCCTCGAAAGGAATTCAGATTTTCGTGTATGTGTTGAAGAGTTGTGTCTGTTGGAAGTTAACAGTTTTTTCTCCAAAAGACACTTTTCTCTTGCAGATACAACATAGAATATGTATTCTCTATACAAATCATTCAAAAAACATAATGTATATTAATAATATAATTTATTTATAAGTAAATCTAACTTAAATTTCAACATATTTTAATATAAATATGAACAGTACATAACACACATGGGGGTGGGTTAAAAAAAAAAATAAATAAATACACCGTGTCCGCACTCTGCGCATAGCCGGCGCTAACAATAATCTACGATTATTGTTCCACTTTGCGTAGTGCGGACTCCAGCGCGGACGCGGAAACCTTTTTTTTTTAAGTGCTAACAATAATCTACGATTGGTTGCTTCATTTTTTATCTTTTCCCAGTCAACAATTGTGTGGTTGCTTCCATTTTTGTTTCCCCAGTCAACAATTGTGGGGAAGTAGAAGTCCATACTACCCTTTTGTTTTGAAGATGCATGGATGGGTAGTAGATGTCTATGGATAAAATGGGGATAAAAAATGCTTCACAAATGAACAGTAATGGTGGATTGTCTCGTTTAAGATAAAATATATAATAAGTAGGGAAGTACCTTCATTCCGACTTCAACCAAAAATAAATTATATAGTCTAAAATATACTTATTTAGTTGTTAATAACTTACTTAGAAGTAGATTTTTTAAGCTTAAACAAACATGCTGTTTAAGTTCCTTCTTTCATTTTTACATCTCATCTCAAACCTGGAATGTTAATTTATTTTGTGCATGGTGCTTGAACTTTTGCCAGAGACAATCGAACATTGTCATGTACTTGCATTTTGGAAACGAAGACGGCCCAAGAATAAGTTTAAATCCATTGTTTGCTTAAATATTTTCAATTTATTGCACAGATGCAATAAAAGTTCTAGAAGATGGAGATCTGCAAACCATTGGCATGCTGGACTACGACAAAAGATTGACACATACATTTACTGCTCATCCTAAGGTTGACCCATTCACCGGTACGAGAAATGTTTATACGAATTCGACAAAAAATATAATTTAGATATGCAGTTAATTATAGATGTCCCTTTCTTTGTTCATTAAATGGCATCTTAGCTTACGAAAACTTCTTAAGCAGGGGAAATGTTTGCCTTTGGCTATTCACAAACGCGACCATATCTCACATACAGAGTCATATCAAAGGATGGGCTAATGCATGATCCAGTACCAATAACAATATCTGGCCCCGTTATGATGCATGATTTTGCTATTACTGAAAATTACGCAATTTTTATGGATCTCCCTTTATATTTCAGGCCAAAGGTAATGTGATTTGGCAAGAATATCGATTTGTGCTCATAGTGTCTGTTCAATTTAATCTGACATAAAACATGCTGTAGGGTCAGTCCACTAATTTTTAATTTCATGTGTGTGTGTTATCACACGGTTTTTGAGATGAAAAGGCTTGTCCCATTCTCTCTATTCTATTCTCAACTATTTAAGTAAACCATTGATTTTGTATCTGTATCAGTCTACCAACAAACTGGTCAAAAAGATTTCAACTCTTCATGAAAGGGATATTTACATATTTGATATTTTCACCACTCAAATTACTGCTTTTGGCTTTGCTTTCTCTATTTATTGTTTAATCTTTATTTTATTCTCTAAACTACCAGTAAATAGTGATTTGCTTTCCTTTTATGGCAATATTTCTTTAAATAGAGAATAATATTAGTTCTTACTTATAATAAGGGATGCTGTAAGGTTTGAGATATCTGTACCAATAATTAATTCAAATACTAGTGAAACTTTTACTACTTTGATACTAATATGCTTCAGATAACTATGAACTTGTAATTGATTTCTTGATTACTAAATTTTATCTTCTCATCTCCAGTGACTTCCTTAAATGAATTATACTTTTCCAAAATCTGTATGAACAAAAATCGTAAAATATTCTTTAAAGCTAAATGATAATGTAACAAATTGTGATTTGTAGTACAAATAAGCAAATCATGAAAACTGGAACTTGAATTCAAAGGCATCTATTCTATTGCTTCTGTCTTCTATTCAAAGTTGGTTGGTAGTTCTACAAGGCATTTACAAATAGAAGAACAAAAACATAAATAGAATGAAAAGACTGAACTTTCCTCACTACTAAATGAAAGGTAGAATACGTATAATACACATATATACTCTTAACATTATTCAATCATAAAATCTCAGTTATTCACAATGTCATTTTTTCAGGAAATGGTGAAGGAAAAGATGTTAATATATTCTTTTGATGCCACAAAGAAAGCTCATTTTGGTATCCTTCCACGATATGCAAAGAATGAGCTACTAATCACATGGTTTGAGCTTCCAAATTGCTTCATATTCCACAACGGTGAGCAATTGACTCATATATGCCTAGTTGCTTCCAACTCTACATGTGCTTGATGATAATGTTTCTTATACATCCGGTAGAAGGCTGCTAATTCTCTCTCCCTCCCCACCATCTCACCAAAAATAAAATAAAATAAAATGGAAATGTGTGTCTGATAGAGGGATACAACTTTTAGCTCACATAGCTCTGGATGACATCAAGTTTTATTTATGATCATTCTTTATATTGAAAAACTTTCATGTTCGTCAAGTTAGTCGTATCAACAGAATCTTGTGTTGTCTTGACATTTACAGTTCTGAAAGATGTTCATCTTTACTTTGAATTGTTTATCAGCAAATGCTTGGGAAGAAGGAGATGAAGTTGTCCTCATTAGTTGTCGTCTTGAGAATCTAGATCTTGACATGGTTAATAGCAGCGTAAAAGAAAGGCTCGAGAATCTCACCAACGAACTGTATGAAATTTAAAGATTCTCTCTCTCTCCCTCCCTCCCTCCCTCCCTCCTCTGAAAGATGTATCTGATTTTAGTTGTATTTGTCAGGTACGAGATGAGGTTCAACCTGAAAAATGGATTGGCTTCGCAGAAAAAATTATCTGCTCCAGCTGTAGATTTTCCGAGGGTGAATGAAAGCTACACTGGCAGGTAAATCTAAACAACATTGTCAATGATTTGGCTGAATCAGACAAGTTTGTATTACATGAAACATAATGACGTTCAGCAATTTTTGGATCTAGTTGGCGCTATTTTTGTTTAATTGCATTTATCCTTTGAATTTTTAACTATGAACACTTGCAACTTTATTTCTTTTTCTGAGTCATCGTCCATCTTTATTTTTTGTATTTTTCTTATGGCTGTTAAATAGTTCACACAGTTTTATCAGCATAATCATAAATGTTTCTTGAATTCAGGAAACAACAGTATGTATATGGAACAATACTAGATAGTATTGCTAGGGTAAGTGGGATTATCAAATTTGATTTACACGAGGAACCGGAGATTGGAAAATCGAAGCTTGAAGTAGGAGGAAATGTTAAAGGTATCTTTGATTTGGGACCTGGAAGATTTGGTTCAGAAGCCATCTTTGTTCCCAGGCAGCCTGGTACTACTTCTGAAGAGGATGATGGCTACTTGATTTTCTTTGCACATGATGAGAACACCGGGTATTTTTCCACCTCTAATTAATTATGCAATGTTTCCTTGAGCATGCTTGTCAGTGTTCAAATGTATGTCAAACTTACTTTTAAGCACAACCAAAAGTGAAATTGTTGTTTCCTGCTTTGGACATTTTACATTTTTCTCACTTTTAAGTCGAAAAAGTTGCTCTTTTTGAAATCAACTCTTTGACGAGTTTAATTTTTTTCAATTATGATCAATAAAAGAAATTATTTATTTTGAAATTTAATTAATTACTCACAATACTTCTTAAGCTTAGCCAAAAATGCTAAATATTTTAGACTAATTTCTTTTAGATGATTTTTTGGCAATAATTTTGTTTTTCTTTTTTATATTTCTGTCCGGTGAGGTTTGTAGTATCTTAATTTTGGCTTTAATTGCAATTCCTAATGCTTGCAAATCCTAATGCATATATCTCTAACTAAATTCGTCCACGATGCTATTCAGAAAGTCAGTTGTTAAAGTAATTGATGCAAAAACGATGTCACCTGATCCCGTTGCTGTTGTTGAACTGCCTAAGAGAGTTCCATATGGATTTCACGCCTTCTTCATGACAGAGGTTAGTTTATCATTTTTATCTCTATTCAATTTAAAATATCAAAATATAAGTTCTATATGCTTAATAAGGCAAAGATTTCACGCAAGAAATTTATAGTAAACGAGGTAAGCGTGTTTGCCAATTATGAAGTCTGTATGAAGAAACAATCCTGTTCGTTTTCTCTTAGATTAAGAAGATAAAGTAATTCGTGTAATCAATGTATATGAGTATTACAGTTCATGCATAGGGAAAGGAAGACAGTATGCTCTGTGTATGCGTCAAATTTAAGGTTTGAATAGTATTTCATATAACTTTTTAAGAATTTCTAGGTCATTTATTTTGCATAATCGGATTTCCAGTTTACAAAAATTGTTGTGTGTCTGTACATGCTCTTAGAGTATGCTTGGCTAAGCTTAAAATGAAGTAAAAGTTATTTTTAAACTTCTTTTTCGTGCCACAAGAAGATTTGGCAATTTTTCTGTACATCTTAACAATAACTTGATTAACGTGTTCTTCCTCATCTTCCTGAGTTTGACCCACTCAAAATATTCGTATATTCCCGACCCATTTTTCATTTTCTATTACGAGTTCTATTTGGTGCTCATTATCTAACTTGATGATGCTTTGAGCAGGAACAACTTCAAGATCAAGCAAAGCTTTGACAAGTACAAGGTGGTTATAAGAGATATAAATAGATCAATAAAGGGTGCGAATCAATTCATGTGATATGTAGTATACCTTCTAATAGCATTTTATATTTTCTAGTAAACCATAACGATTCATATTTTAATTTTCCTTCTCTGTTTTCTATTACTTTAGATTCATTTGAACTTATTTTTATTTCACTGAGAGAATTTTGTTCCCTCATTTTATGCAAATCAATCATATTTCATTAGTATTTTCCTGAAAACTTGAAAGAAAATCATATGTAGATCGTCATTTCTGCATTCAATTTGTACTCTTAGGGCTGGGAACCTATTTTCCTCCATATTTGGTACGTTATACTGGACACATTGCACGAGAAGACGGGCCAAGTTTTAACTTTTTCCATTTTTAATGATGTTGTACGTTAGTGACGAGAAGATTCTAACTGAAATGTGATGAATGTTCTTGATAATCAAGATGGTGCTTTTATCTTGCAGTATGAAAATGCTCGACTTCCTAGATAGGAAAAAATACATTTGATACGTATGACCGGATATGATGATAGAGGATCACTAATGTCTCTTGAATTGCTCTCGATTTTATGATATCTTTGTTTTCATTGTGTGATAAGATCCAAATTAACTACTATATATATAAAAAAATTAAATGAAATTAATTGTTTCAAGTTCCCATGTAAGGTTCATCTTTAAAGGATCAATAGTAGAAAATCCCTTGAAAACGTTTCCATTTACGATATACTCCCCACCTATTAGAAATCACAGAAAACTCCCTTATTTGAAAACTTTTGTGTTAAATGCCCCCTACCGTTAAGATTCGTCAGATTTGCCATTAAAAAGGGTAAAAAAATGTCAAAAATAATTGCAATTGCAAAACTGAAACTTTTATTTTTTTGCAAATTATATCTAAATTTTTTAAGGATAATTGTAGTAAAAGTTCCAAACCTTTCAATCACATTAAATAATTATATTTAAAACTAAAAAAGAAAATAAATAAAGGCCCTGTTTGAGTCAAATTTTATAGAATGAAAATGAAAAATATAATAGTTATTGGGGTCTACACAAGAGATAGAAAATTTGAATTTAAATATTGATGTGATAGATAACGGTTATATATTTCATTTTAATGAGATAATAATTTAGATCAAACGAGGGCAAAATCTTCTTACTTACCAAACTCCTCGCCCTACCCTCAACCCCAAAGCCAAAATCACAAACACTACAACACATCGTCCAGAACCACCACTGCTTCAGATAGAAGTATCTTTCATTTTGGAAGATTTTTCTGTAGATGTTTGTCAGAGTGCTCAGGTACTCAAAATTCTTGAATCGAGTCACTCATTCACCGAGTTAGCAAATGTAAGCACTCGTCGAAAAATATTAGAAGATGTACAAGCAATAAGTGGTGGCGGAAGGGACAAGAAGCTGAAGCCACACCATTTCCAGCAAGCATTGAAGTGTCCTCGGTGTGATTCGCTTGACACAAAGTTTTGTTATTACAATAATTATAACCAATATCAACCGCGCCATTTCTGCAAGAGCTGTCAACGATACTGGACCAAAGGCGGCGTCCTCAATAATGTCCCCATTGGTGGCGGCAACCGAAAGACTAGTAAGCGGTCCAGATAAAAAAAAGGACACAAATCAAATTCACATTCTAGCAGTAAGAATTCCCGTCTCTCCGACGTAGGAATGAAAAAAAAGCTAGGGCGGCTCGGGCTCGGCCCATAAAAAGCCCGAGCTGGGCCGGGCTAGGTGGAATTGAGCCGAGGCTCGAGCTGGCCCGTACAAGCAACATAATAATAATAATAATAATAATAATAATAATAATAATAATAATAATAATAATAATAATTGAAAATGCTGCCTGTGCACCTATAAATAGTCAAAATGATTTTATTGAATTTGGTCAAAATGTTGCACAAAAGTCAATTATGCAGCCAAGTACTTATATAGAGTTTGTTTGGGAGAGATTTTTGGGGGAAGAATTGATTTTGAATAGTGATATGATGAGAAATGTGTTGTTGAAAAAGAAGAAAAAATTATTGATGTGATGGAAAATATTATTTTATTGAAAAATTTATGGTTGAAAATAAGAATTGATTTATTGTAGAAAAATCTAATCCCTATCAAACAGGGTCATATAAACATCACTTAATTAATTAAAAGTTGACGTTTCAAACACACTCAGTCCAAATAAGAAAGACTTTTAATAATGCGTCTAATGCCAAATGGTAATCTTTATGCACACACTCATAGAAAATCAACAGCCAAAAGACAGCATTTTTACCCTTGTATCATACTATTAATCAAAAAAATAAAAGGATTAACACAACCCATAGAAACCAATAAAGATTAGTATACCATTAAATGAAAATCGCAAAATTTACGGTAGCCGAGATAATATTTCGAATTAGAAAAAAAAAACCTCGAGCCGACTTGGCATTTTTTTTGGTCGGGCTTTGCTAGGCTCGAGCCCGAAAAAGCTCGGCCCAAAAAAGCTAGAGCCGAGCCCGACCTTTTTTTTCCTGCTCGGCTCGACTCGACTCGTTGACATAGCTACTCTGATGCCATCACCACGACAGAGGCCATTCCTACCTCAGCCATCGGAAACTTCAGCTTCGCTGTCGATGCAGCTAACATTTTTCCTTATTCGAAGTTTTATAATGTGAATCTGAATCCACAGGCTACGACTACAAATCCTAGCTTTGATTTACAACCGGTGGCGAATCAACCAACGGACGGTCAGATTTTCACCGACAACAAAAGCTTCACGAGCTTGGAAAATATGCTAGGGTTCAACATGGCTGACATTTCCACATCGTTCGATCCGTTAGAGTAATTATTTTGACTTTGGGGTTGGGGGTAGGGTGAGGTCTGAGGAGTTTGGTGAAGAAGAATATTATGATATTTATTTATTTTCTTTTTTTAGTTTTTAATGTAATTATTTAATGTGAATAAAATGTTTGAGGCTTTCGCTGCAATTGTCCCTAAAAAATTTAGGTATAATTTGTGAAAAAAATAAAGTTTTGATACTGCAACTACTATTATTATTATTATTATTGTTGTTGTTGTTATTGTTGTTGTTGCTGACATTTTTTTTACCGTTTTAAATACAAATTTGAAGGATCTTAAAAGGGGTATTTTGCACAAAAGGTTTCAAATATGGGGTTTTCTGCGATTCTCAGGTAGGAGATATATCGCAAATGGAAACATTTTGAAGGGGGTTTTCTGCTATTATCCTTAAATTAATATTCTAAGAGATTAGTTTAAGGGTTTTGGCTTTAACAATATAGTTATTCGTTGTTGGAAAATGGATTTAGTTGCGAAATTTGGTGGTTTCTCCTCCACGAAGAGCGTTCTTCTTATGTTTAGCTAATCAAAATCATTTTCTAATGAATGAAACATTAGCTGCTTAAATGTATAAAATTTTGAAGATATTTTTGTGAAAATAAAGTCATTTGTCCAGCAGATGTTTGGGGTCCGGCTTCTTTAGTTTCATTTTATAATTTCATTCTGTGTGTTTCTATATTACAAAATATAGTTGATTTTATACACTTAAAGAAAATACGACGAGTCATCTATTTTTGACCACAGATAAATTGCAGAAAATTTCTTTGTTACAAAAATTTAAAAGGTCTTCATCGAAGGAGGTGTTGAATACCAGAGTCTGAGCCATCATTTATCTAACATTGGCGCTCCCCACCTCACAACCCTCAACATAGGATCGGCCGAACTAAAGCATTGTCATATAGTTGAAACCAGACTTACTTTACTTCACCATGCATCGATTCCATTGCCATCGCCATTTTGATCGGTTTCTTCTCAATTTCAATCTACTCTCCAAATTTCTTTAACCTGCTAATTTCATTTGATAAGTTACTTTCTTCCTGCAAAGAGGGCATGTCGAGTGTTTTGACTACAAATTCAGTGGCAAGAAAATTGAAAAGTCATGGATGCAATAAAGAAACATTAAAGTGTTCGAAAAATTGGCTTACCAAACTAAGACACGAGAATGAAAACAATAAAGAAACTTTAAAGGCAAATTTTTCTTGTCATTTTTTATACAAAATCAGAATATAAACGAGAAGGAAGGAGAATGAATAAACTAGTAAAATCACAAATAAATGAAAATTTGTCTTAAAATTGTTGGATAATTAATGGTGCATGATTATATTCCTTTTAACCAAAAGCACGTGCATGCAAATACAATAAAAATGTTGCTTGTGTAAAATATCGAATAGAGTTTTGACTTATTGAAAACAAGAAACGTGCATCAAAATATGCACAAAAAAGTAATTGAAATGTAAAAATTAGAAATATATGAAATGAAGTGAGGTATGCGAATTCAAATATCTTTAAGAGAGAT